CTCAGCCATTGAACGATTTTCTCGGATATAGGCACCAAAGACAAGCATATGAATCCTAGAATGTTTTCGACTAAGTGGAAGATAGCCTGGTTTACAAAATCCATTCTTAGCGTCAGAAAAATTTAAGTGGCTTCGCAAAGTGCAAAGATATCTGGAGAACGTTTCAAGGAGAAAGATTCTACACTACAGAAATTGGAATGTATGGTAGCCAGGTGATTTTTTTGTTTAGTGGTTTACTCGTATTTCGTTTCATTGTATCTGTATCTGTCACCAAAAAGCTAAGCTAAATCATTATGGTCATCGAAGAATGTAGCGATAAACGCTATCCTAATGAGGAACCATGGAACAAACCTCTACTCCTGTTCAATAAACATGGAAGGAATACTGGCGGGTGATAGGCGAACCTATCTACTCCTATTAACATGTTCACAGCACAGGAGGCTAGTCGTTTATATCGAGACACCATTTTTAGGATGGTTGCCAAATAAGGGTCTCGACAAGTAGGGAGGGATTACTAGATTATTAAAACCTTCCTAGAGGTCATCCCAGGTGTTGAACTCAAAGGAATATCAGCATAAAACTGGAATACTTCAGGTAAAATTAATAAAAATTTAATAATAACTCTTCGGATGTTGTAATCTCCGGCTTTCATAATAAGCTTATATCTGAACAAGTATGTTTACTTTATCTCTCACTCTTTCTCTCTCTCTCTCTCTCTCTCTCTCTCTATATATATATATATATATATATATATATATATATATTATAGTAAAAAAAAGAAAGAACAGTATTCCGGTGCTCTTATTGATATTTTTATTTTTACGAACAGTGCTCAATGTAAATTTACAGAGCATAAATATTATAAATTACCTGATTTAAAAAAATATGGTTCCTTCGCTACACTGGAATTACCATGTTTCAAAAATGGAAGCTAGAAACTTCAAATTTAATTATATAAGTAAATTAAAAGCATTAATTCTGTTTCATTTTCAAGCGAATTTTGGAATAACTTATTTTTAAATTTACTGAGTTTTAAAAGCAGATACATTCATAATTTTTTGTTCCCAAGGATACAGAGAAATCCAATTATTTAAACATGGGCGGTAGCGTGTTCATTTTTATTAACTATTGCTGTATCAATTATGAGTTACGTTCAAAAAAGAGGTTAAATCTAGGTAGGGTAGGGGTGCTTTTTTAACGAATTCTGACGTCCGTTCAACGCATGTCGTCTGTTTTTTTGTTTTTTTTTATCAACGTCAAAAAGTTTTTCGGCATTTCTTTCCGTTAAATATCGTACTTGGATACATAAAGATTCTTTCTAAAGGGAGTGTTTTTGGATTATAATACATTATATAGAACTATAATTTTAAAATATTATTTTTACTTTTAATTACTAATAGACTATATTTCTTTTTAAAACAAGTAAATGTAATAGAATTACTTAAATTATTTAAAAATTATTGTTACATATCAAATATAAGTATGTATATTACCAGCTCCCATTTTTTAAATTTTTTTATTATTTTATTTTATTTTTAAATATTATTTAAGGAACATTTTTGACAATGTCGGCAAAGAATAGCTATTTCATTTCTTTGATTCAGTAAATTTTTATTTTTTATAAACTTAGTAATATATAGTTTCTCATGTATGCACAAAGGACATGGGTTATTTAATGGCCTACATATTTTCGCTTTTCTTATTAATTTCCATTTTACTGTAGTTGTTTTATTGGTTTCTTTCAATTGGCAGAAATATTTCTATAGTCTGATTTTGGTATTTATTTATCCTCAATGAACTTTGATGTTGATTTTTTTCGGGATTCTCAAGATTTGGTATACTAATGATTTCGTGCGACATTTATTATTAAGAGTGCAGTTAGAGGATTTCTGCAGTTACATAATTTTTGTTTATCTTCATCTCTTTTTATTTCTATATTGTCTAAATTTCTTTGGTTTTGGTCTAAGTGTTTATTCAAGATATTAGCATTATAATAATTTTCTCTAAGTTTTCAGTACAGCTGTAACTTAATTTTAGTGTATTCTTATTGAAAATAGTATTGAGTTTACTATCTTTAGGAAAATATTTAACGATTAATACAAGGAATTTTTGTTTTAATTTATTCTTTTTACCATTTGGTTATATGGGGGTGTATACCAAATCATTTTTCTACTTCTGTTTTTTCTACGTATTCCATTTTTCTTATTTATATAAGTTAGTTTTGAACTTTTGTAGCCACTATCTTTTTCAGCTTTATTATAGAAAGTAATATGTTCATAGAAAATCTTCTCATTTGGTGAATTTGTACTTATTCTTTTTTCGATAGATAAAGGTATTTGCTTAATTATAGATGGAGGATGATTAGATTTAGGGTGTATATATAGAGGATGATAAGAATTAGGGTGTATATATAAAGGATCTTTTATATATACACCTTAAATATAATCTTTCTCCATCTATAATTAAATTCAAGATAAAAATTAAATTCAAGAGGTGGTTCCACGTTCCTCAAAACCTCCTGATCAGAGGCCTCGCTTTCGGATGCAGTTTATCGTTTTACCCAGGACTCTCGAGGAGTTAAAGAAAAAATATCAAGTTTTAAATTATATTTTTAAATTGAAGTTTTTGATAAGCAACAATGCAACTGTTTGGCTCTTATCGAAAATTGAATAGTGAATTCCGTTCTCACTATTCACTCGACCGTCCTGGGTATGACGATAAACTACATCCGCGTCCTGGGTAAGACGATAAACTACGTCCAACAGCAAGGCCTCTGATCAGGAAGTTTTGAGGAGCGTGGAACCTCCTCTTAATTGCTGGTGTTCCCACGTCCACGCTGACCCGGGGTGGTAGCACCTGTTAGGGTCCTAGCTATCGGCAAAACTGGGTTCAAAAACACTATGAAAGTGTAAAAATAGGTTTTAATACCAGAAATACTTTTTGTAAAAAAAATACTAGCAATAAGTTTTTGAAGAAAAATTACTACCGGCAATACATTTTTGATGAAAAAAAATATTACCAGCAACAAAAATTGTGTCGGCTTTAAATAACCCATTGAGGTTGATATACCGTAAAACAAAACAAACCAAACCACTATTCACTCGAGAAATTTAAGGTAAGAAGCTACTTTGAAGTTGAAATAATAATAATCTTCAACAATATTTTCTTCTTTACGAATGTCTGTATTTTATTCAATCAGACATGCCTAAAAGAGAATTTGCTTGCCTAAATACGCATATATATATATATATATATATATATATATATATATATATATATATATATATATATATATATATATATAGCCATAATAAAGTCACTAAGATGCAAGGGCATACAGTGTGTGAAAAAATCTAAGACAAAAATGATCAAAGAGCAAGAACAATAAAAGAGCAAGAATTAAGAAGACAAAAGATAATGATTGGCATTACATTTAATTTTTGACGATCAAAATTGACTGGGAAGCAAGAAGCCAGAAGAGAGTTCTACGAGAAGTGCGAGAGAAAAACTCTTACTATAGAACTTACGGTTATATTTGAACATTTCAATTGTAAATTGATAAAATCGTGCGGCCAAGTGCATCATCACATACAGTGGAATTATACTCAATTTGTTCTCATTTTACACACACACACACACACACACACACACACATATATATATATATATATATATATATATATATAAGGCTCAAACACTAATATTTCATGGTTATAATTTATTACATTGAAATCGTAATAACGATTCAATTCATAAGACCAACAAATTCAAAGGTCTGATGAATTGGATCGTGATTACGATTCCAATGTAATAAATTATAACCATGGAATATTGTGTTTGAGCCTTTTATATTATATTCTTACTCTGTCCTGGACATTGAGTTCTACCTAGATTCTATCCTCTTGAAATTTATATATATATATATATATATATATATACATATATTGACCACTAATATTATCTCTCTCTCTCTCTCTCTCTCTCTCTCTCTCTCTCTATATATATATATATATATATATATATATATATATATATATATATATATATATAGATGTATATATATATATTAATTCGAAAATTGAATAGTGAATTACCCTCTCATTATTAGCTCGAGAAAGTCAAGGTTTGATTTTTGAAAAGTAAAACAAAAGACATTGTGTTTGGTAATGTTTGACAAAATTTTTTTTTCTTTATGAAATCGCGTTTTTCACGAAGTGTTGATAAATATTGGAAGAGTTACATCAATCATTTTATTTAATAATAAAAATATTTTAGAATTGTATTTTTCAGGAAGTGACTTGTTACTGTCATATTTTATTTAAAAAAAATGATAATTTACATTCGTCAATATGATTTCCGCCTCGCCTACCGATATGTACGACTGTTTATGAAAAAAAAATGTAAATTTTTATTTTCAAATTCAAGTATCTGAATATTAGTTGTGAAATTTTCGGATCGAAAATTGAATAGTGTATTGTTTCTCTTGTGACAACAATAAATGAACCGCGACGCTTATAGAATGGGTAATTACCATTACGTCATGGAACGCACCTATCATTCGCTTTTGTCTTTTTTTCTCATAATTCCGCATTCTTTTTTTTTTTTTTTGGCGCGAAGCTAAAACAAACACAAGCTCGTTTCCTATAAATACCAATCGGCTAACCTCTCAGAAGTCAAACTTTGGTAACCAGTCCAAAAGGAAAGGACGAATAGAACGGGCAAAAAAAAAAAAAAAAAAAAAAAGTAGACAAGCCTCGTTTATAACTTTTTAAAGAGACACATATTTAATATTTATTTATTTATTTAATATATATATATATAATTTATATAAGGAATTTGTCGAAGACAAGAAGAGAGGAGAGTAAAATAAGAACACAAAATTAAGAAGGAGCTAAGAGTCGCCAACAGTTTGCCAAATACACGCCTCAGTCAGACTTATTCGGTAGCTTATTATTAAGTTGCTTACGAACTTCGACCTCATTAGTCTCCAAAAGACGAAAATGAAAAACGTTTTCTTTTGTATT